AAAAGTGCTTAAAAATGGGAATGTTTTGCCAAATCCAGGCCTGATTCACACCCTGGCTGCTTTCCAACCTGCAGTAACAAACTCAAAGACCTGTCTCCAACATTTACTGGGCTGGATCACTCTGGACAAAGCACCTAAGTTTGATCTCAGAACCCAAAGGTGTAGAAAATAAGAGGAAAAAGCACTGGAAGAGGTTCATTTAATGGCCACTCACCTGCTCCTGGAGAGGGAAAACATTCCCTGAGCATCTCCTGAGCCCCACTGGAGCTCAGCCCGACGCAGCCCTCAGCTCACTCTCATTAAACCCTGCATGGTTCAAGTGCTTTTTAATGAGAACAAACCCCACAAACCCTCCACCACACTCCAGCCCTTCCCCTTTCTCTGCTGCAGATGAACTCCTGAGGACACTCATTTAATTGCAATTAAACCACCTGCCTCAGAGCCAAGCCTGCCTGACCTGCTGCACACTTGGCCTTCCAAAATGTCCTTTCATGTGGAACTGCCAAGCTGCCCTCTTGCAGCTGCTAAAGGTGAAAAAGCACCAGGAACTTGGAGGCAGAAACTGATTTTTTGGGCTTCAAAGGTCACATTTCATATTCCTTAAAGGCCCCAAAATCCCTGCCTGGTCCTTGTCTGGCCCCCAAATCCCTGCCTGGTCCTTCCTCTAGCCCCAAAATCCCTGCCTGGTCCTTCCTCTGGCCCCAAAATCCCTGCCTGGTCCTTGTCTGGCCCCAAATCCCTGCTGCACCACCCTTTTCCACAAGGGAAGACCCCACTACAAAGAACCTTGCAGCCACCTTGTGCTGTAACATTTTATTTATTGCCTTGTTTAACTTATTCCCTTGAGCTCCTGTAACTCAACCAGAATCTTGAAAGAAAATAAAGGCAACAGGATTTAAAATCCCACAATTCCAGCTGTTTTTTCTTTTTTAATCTGTGCTGTCTGACAATGGGCAATGAGCTTTGGGAACACAATAACCCAGGGGAAGGAAAGGTTTTCAGATACCAGTTGGAAATGCTGGAAGGGAGGAAACAACAGGAGAAGAAACAGGAGATCAGTGGCAGAGTAGCTGAAAAGTTTGTTTCTATAAGAAAATGTAATAGCTCTCTGGAGACACCTTACTGGGGGATAAAAGTGAATTTATCCCAGAATTACTCAGTCATTTCAGAAGTGCATTAGTGATTCTGGTACAAAAACTGATTTAATTCCTGCTGCAAGCCTCTCCCACAGAGCTTGTCCTGCTCATCCCCACAAACACAATCCCACAGGGAGGGACACCACAAATGGAGGCTGGGGTCACCTGCAACGAGGATTTTGATGAAACCAACCAAGCTTTTCCCATATTCTTGTGTAAATGGATGAAAACCCATGATAGGAATATTCAGGAGGGAGGAAGTGGGGAGAAAGGCAAAGCCATTTGTGTGGGACCTGTGGACAAAAGCTGGATTTGCAGGCTGCAAAATGGATGTTGGACTATGAGGAATTGCCACAAAAATCTTTTAAAACATCTTTAAACAGCTTCTACTCGACTCAAACTGACTATTGTCACTTTACTCCTATTTTACTACTGCAGAAATGGCAGGAATAATCAAGGTTAAAATGAACATAATGATTCAGCACTTCACCCAACAGGTCAGATATTAAATATTCCTCTGCCTTGACAGATTTTGAACTTCTTGACAGTCTCCTACTTCAAAAGGAAAAAGTTCAAAGTGGCAGATGGAGAAAAAAGAAAAAAAAATCCAGTATTTTAAGGCAGACACACTGAGCTTCTGATGGAAGTGTGACACCATCACATGGGTGGCCTTGACCCCAAACACATCCCAGGTTTTGTCTGCCCAGACCCACAGCTGGCTTGGGAAACCCAGAATGACAAAACCCACCACATTTCAAGGTGGAAAGCACTGGCAATCTCAACCCCACACTTCCCAGGCACCAAAATAAATCAATTTCTCTGCAAGGCCACTTGAGAAAACCACCAAAGTGCATCTTACTTCAGGCTGTTGAGAGTCAAGGACAATGAACTGGCAAAGCCAAGGGCCACAAGCTGGGCCTGGTTCTTGGGATTTTAGGCTGCCCAAATCCTCCTTATCCTGCAAACAGCTCAGAGGAACAGTTTTTTTGAGGGATTTGAGACCCTCCAAGCCCCCAGCTGTGCTGTCCCCAGGCTCATGGATATTCCCCAGCTGCCAGGTGGGGCCAGGGCAGGCAGGGAACGTGTCCTGCCCTTCAAAGGCCACACTTTGCTCTTCTGAAGCTTCCCTGGCTGAGCCCAAGCCAGCTGGGCAGCAGTTGAAAGAGCTGCTCCTTCAGCAGCCCAAAACAAATAGGGACATTTAAAATTAAAATAGACAAAAGGGCGATAAAAGGAATAAATTGTCCCTCACTGGCCTAGAGAAGAGAGCTCTGTTCCTGCTGATCCTGCTGGGTCTCCCCTGGAGGGGCTTCCCAGGGAGGCTCAGCAGAGGATTTTGGTGGATGGGGAGAGCCCATGGGGGTGGCTCACAGGAGCCCAGGCTGGCCAGTGAAGAGGGACAGCAGGGTTGTACAAAAAAAAAAAAAAAAAAAAAATCAAAGTAATGTTTTTATTTGGAGCCACAAAGGATTTTTGAAATATATTTGGGCCACAGGAGGAATTTCCTGCTCATTTCAGAGACCTCTCTGCTGAGCTGCCTCATCACTCCAGGAATGCCAGGCATTGTCCTTCCCACTCCAGGAGAGCTGTGCTCCCTGCAGGTCCTTTGGAGAAGCAACAGAACCCACCAAAACCTCTCAACCTGCCCCAAACTGGGAGCAAGACAATCACTGCACCATCTAACCCCACCTAGAAACCAGTGTGAGGAGGGGTTTTAAAGCCAGCCTTGGTTTTAAATCCAGCCTTGGTTTTAGGGCCAATACTGCAGATTTTGGGTACTCTGAGCTCCTCCCTTTGCACCACCAGAGCTCCTGAAGGACAGGGAGCATTGAGTGAGCCCTGCTTTGCTCTTTCCCTGTGCTGGAAGCAGCCAGCATCCCTCTGTCCAGGGAATTCCGTGTCACACTGCAGGCAGCACATGAATAATCTGGCTTTGACCCATTCCAGAGGATCTGATGGAAAATGAGCTGGGCTGATTGGGGTCTTCTCCCTCAGCCCTTCCCAAGAACCACCTCATTTCCTGGTTAACACTGAAATGAAGAGGAAAACCAGCTGAGGGAACACCTCTAATCCCCCCTTTTCTCTTATCCCTTCCCCCTTGGTGTGTTGTTGTTGTACACCAGGCTAAATTTCATCCCTGAAACCTCGAGGAGCAAAGGAGGGGGGGAAAAAAATAAATCCAGCCTTATCTCAGCTATCAGGAGTCAATTCCTTTCAAGCACAACCAGCTCCAGGTGCATTCCTGCCAGGATCATTGTCCTGGAGCTGGGAGGGGACCCCAGCACTGATCCCTGAGCTTCCCCCTGCTCAGGAGTTGGGGTTTGGATAAGGGCTGGTGAGGAGAGGGACAGGCTCTCTGTACCCACCACCCTCTGCCTCTTCCTTAAGAAAGGTGCCCAAACAGCCACTCAGAGCTCACCAGGCACAACTGGAATTATTTTGGGAAAACCTCAGGAGCTCTGCAGGACTGTCAGAGGAGCCAGCACCCCCAAGCCAGGAAAAGTGGGAGCAGAGGAGCAGCACAGCATCCACTGCCCCAAGACATGGGAAAAAACACATGTGGGAAAAAATTCCAGGTGGGTTTTTTAAAAAAATAAAACTACAAGAGCTCTACAGCACCAGCACAGGGAGCACTCCAGAGAGCTGTGGGCACTAATGAAGAGAGCCTGTCTTAATTATCCCACTGCTCCAGGAATTAAGAGATCAAACCTCCAGCCCTGGAGTCACTGCAGCTCCAGAGCTCAGCCTCAAAACCTTGGCAGCTTCAGGGGGAGGCTGTTGGGATTTTTTCTTTCTTTCTTTCTCCCCTCCAAACAGAAACACAAAGAGGAAGGAGTCAAGGAGGACCACAGCCAGGTTTTGCTCCGGTACCCCTGGAAGCCACAGCAGGAGGATGCTTGAATTCCTGCCCTTTCACATTAAAACATCTAGAAAAGAGACAAGAAACCCTGGAATAATTTGGAAACAGGCAATGGAAAACCATGCACTGAGTTATTTGTCCAACTCTGTAGCTTGGTCTCACAGCTTTAAGTTGGTGCTGAGTTAAGAGCTCAGAGAATGGAGCTTTTCAGAGGCTGCTCTCCTTCACCCACTTACATTCCAGCTGGAGTAGGATGGGAATGAAGGGGCAGCACATGCAAACCCTTAAAATCAAACCCACTGAGCCCATCTGTGCAAAAGGTGCCCTGTTGTAAAGCCAGAACATTTGAGAAGAATCTCCCTGAGCACCTCCTGAAGCTTCTCCCTCCACACGAGCTCAGCTGCAGGCAGAGAGGCACCTCAGGAGGTGACCTGATGAGATTTGGGGCTTTCAAGGCACATCCTCTTTCAAACAACACATTTGGGGCCTGAACAAGAGCAAGGAGAAGCCAAACCCTTTATTTGAGCTCTCCCCTGCAGCAGGCTGATCCACAGGAGTCAGGGCTTCTCCTTTCTCCCCACAAACTTTCTGCACTTGGTCTGAAGCACAGAACTGCAGCTCTCTCCTGGGCAGAGCTGAGAAACCACCCTAAAAGCAATGATTGAGGGAAGCACTGCACAGCTGGGATAACACAGTATGGAAGGTTATGGAATTATGGAAGGTCATGGAATTATAGGATGAAGTTCATCAAATCCCACCCTGCACCAATGAACACAGGAGAACTCAGGACAGACATCCCAGGTGAGACAGAGCTGGGACATTGCCATCAATCATTTGTGTCCAAAAATCATCCCTGCCAGGTCCTTATCTCACATTCCTACATGGATAATCTGGTGAGGAACAATCACAAATTGTTGACTGGAAATCCAAACTGCACCAGGAAAAATCAATGTGTACCACAAGCAGCACGAGGGAAAAGCAGAGCAGAGGGACTGAGAACCCACCAGATCTGTCCAACGTTGACCAGGGAGAGGTAGAGGAGCCACAGCAGGGACATGAGGACCATGTTGGCACAGCCAGTCAGCAGCACAAAGGCTGCCACTGCCAGGCCAGCCAGGGCCAGGCAATCCAAGGTGCTGTCCATGGCAGACCAGTCCAGGAACCAGATGAGAGTGGGGGCATAGCTCAGGGCATCCAGGCCGACCTTGCCCTTGAAGTATTTCTTGACATCCTGCAGGTAGAGCTTGCAGGGGAGCAGCCCCTTCTCTCCTATCAGCTGCTTGTTCTGCTGAAAGGCCACCAGGAAGGCCACGACTGCAGGGGAACAAGGAGAGGGGGAAAAATGTGAGAGGAATCACCCAGGGTGAGCGAGAGGATTGGAATCCAGATCTAGGGAAGTCATTCTTGGAAGGAATTTATTCCCAAGTCCGTATCTCCATTAAAATATAACACAGTCACTACAGAGCCCAACAAAAGGTTCCCTGGGTTGCACCTGGAAGATCTTTAAGGTCCCTCCCAACCCAAACCAGTCCAGGATTCTGTGGTTTCTATGAACCTCAGTGGAGAAGGCAGAGGAATTCTATAAATCCCATCCTGGCTTTGGAGGAGATCTCCAGCTTTATGGAACATTACCAGGGCATCTATCAATTTCCTTGTATTGAAAACACTTAATAGAACAAAATGTTGTTAATTAGATAGCTTAAACTCATCTACACCATTAATTAGGTATTCATAGAATCCCAGGATGGTTTGGGTTGGAAGGGACCTTGGAGAGCCTCTCATCCTACCCCTGCCATGGCAGGGACACCTTCCACTGTCCCAGGGTGTTCCAAGCCCTGTCCAGCCTGGCCTTGGGCACTGCCAGGGATCCAGGGGCAGCCCCAGCTGCTCTGGGCACCCTGTGCCAGGCCCTGCCCACCTTTCCAGCCAGGAATTCCTGCCCAATATCCCATCCATCCCTGCCCTCTGGCACTGGGAGCCATTCCCTGTGTCCTGTCCCTCCATCCCTTGTCCCCAGCCCCTCTCCAGCTCTCCTGGATCCCCTTTATGCCCTGGCAGGGCTCTGAGCTCTCCCTGGAGCCTTCTCCTCTCCAGGTGAGCAGCCCCAGCTCTCCCAGCCTGGCTCCAGTCCTGGAGCAGCTCTGGAATTGCTCCAATTCCTTCCTGTGCTGAGGACCCCAGAGCTGCTCAAAGCACCCTCAATTCTTTGAGTTCATGCTTCACCCCCACAACTTCCCAGAACAGCAGCTCTGACCCTCTGCATCTTCTCACACCCTGGAAAGTTGGAAATCCAAAATCTTACCACTTTCCCACCCCTTAAATTCCCACTTTTCCATGTCCTTACAGCTGTCCCATTTATAGTGTTTCTGCTCCAGCCCTGGACACTCTCAGAGCAGCCAGCTGCCTTTTTTAACAGCACATCAGCAATTTAATTACAGCTCATAGACCTAGCATTTGATGTCCTACAGAGAAAGTTGGGCAGTTTTTAGGCATTATCTCATATTTTAGGCATCTCCTGCAGTTACCAATTTGCAGTTTGTAACTCCAGTAATCTCCATGTCTCAGGGGAAAAAAATAAAATGAGGAAGGCCAACATTTCCTGATTAGGCTGCATCCACTCATTTACCCATCCTTCAAACATCACCCAAACACCAGCCACGTCATGGGCAGCAGCACCAGAGCTCCTGGAAAAAGCCAATTTGTTCCCCTCCCCAATCTTCCTTGGTTAATGATCAAATCTGTTTCCTTCCTTATCTCAATGCTGGCATTCTGCAAACAACAACCCCGGTGTTCATCTGGTGTCTCTCACTGGGAGCACTGGGGGAGAGGCTGTGTGAAATCAGAGCCCAAATTCCCATTTCTTTGAAGTCTGAAGCAGCAGCAACCCAAAGTCTGCAGCCCCAGGGAATCCGACTGAAAGTCCCATTCCCCAGACAAAGGTCTCCAGTGGGTTCCACTTAATCCACTTAACGCTCCCCCAGCTCTCTGCACACAGCCATGGGTTTTATTCTCATTTAAAAACCACTAAAAGTCATCATCGGCACACAGCAGAGGTCACTGGGAGGGTTCCCTTTGATTCCAGAAGATCCTGGACCCCAGGGATGGCACAATAAAGTTGGGAGTTAATGGGTTGTGTCTCTTCCCATCCATCTTTTCTACACAGTGAATGATTTTACAAATAAAAGACATTTTTCTTCAATTATTTTATTCAATTATGGATGGGGAAAGACATGAGAAAAGCTGATTCAAACACCACAGGATCAGTTCTGGGACACAAATTAACTGCTTTCTGTTTTATCCATGTTTTTCTACCAACAATCAGCTCAGCACAACTGTGTAATCAGAAAGCCTGATATGAAACTAGCAGAAATAAAATTCTTCTGAGCTTTAGACAGCTTAATATTTTCATTTTTGGCCCTAAAAAAGCCAACTGAAAGCCAGTTCTGCCTTAAAACTCCGTGGCTTGATTTCCCGTGATTAGCACTGCAATTTGCTGCACAGTTTTCCAAAAGTGCTAATCAAATTCACCTCTAAATGCTCCAGAATTGCTGCCCCAACCCATAAATGCTGAGCAGGTTTTTGCCTAAAAAAGTCCAAATTAGACCCCTGCGCCGTGCACGAGACAAACAAGGAAAGGGTAAATTAGGAAAAACAAACACCAGCAATTCCAGCAAAGCGCACACTGGATGGACAAAATCCTGCTCAGCCTCCCCGAGCCTGCAGGCAGCAAAAAATGGGCTGAAGTTGCCAAAAAATGCACATTTTGGATGGCCCAGCTCGGGCTCCAAAGGGGTTTTCTCCCAGAACATCAATTTCCCTCAGCAGCATCCACAATTAAAACCCAGCAGCACCAGCCCTGATTTTGGGAGGATTCACCTCCCCCAAAGCAAACCCCAGCGTTCCGCCTGGGTGTGATCCATCACCTGCCAGGTGATGCTGACATTCCCAGAGCTCCAGCCCGGATCCAGCTCCCTCTCCTGGACACTCCCCATGCTCAGTCTCTGATCACTCCAGGCTCCCTCTCCACCCATCCCCAGCATCTCTGGGATGGGCTCAGCTCCCACCTCCACCCATGCCTGCTCCATCTCCCGAGGTTTCCCCCTCAGGCAGCAGTTCACGGGGAAGAGCTGAAACTAAAGACAGAGACTGCAGAGGATTTCAGCAGCACAGGAGATGCCCAGATCCAGGAGGGGAAAAGGGAAGTTATTTATCAGCTTGTCATTGCTTCCTCTCTCTGAAGCCCAGAGAAACTGGAGCCTTAAATTCAGTGTAACAGACCCTGCTGCCTTCTCCAGGAACCTTCCCTTCGACCGTGGCTTGCTCAAGGGGTAAAAAAGTCCCTTCTCCCCCAAAGCCTGTGCTCCTTCCTCTTCTTTAATCCTTATTCTGGAACCTCTCTCCCTGTGGCCTCATGTTTGGGGATTTTTCACTCTGCATCCTCCAGCTCAAACAACTTTGCTTCCACTTTGGGCACTGACCGGCAGCATCACCACCCTGCCGGGCGTGGGGCACACTGACCCACCTCCCCTTGCTCCTGGAGCTTTTCCCTGGGATTCTGCACTCTCCAGAGCTGTCACAAACCCTACCACCCCTGGGCTCACTGCCTGTGCTTCTCAAGGACAATTCCAGGATCTGGGAGTGCCCAGTCCCCTGTTCCACCTGGAGGTGCCATTCCTGGGGCTGTGCAGGTGGAGGGAACAGAGCAGCTCCAGGGCTGCCTCCCACTGCAGAGCCTCTGACAGCTCACATGGGAGCTCTCCCTGCTGCCAGCTGAGCTTTACATAATACATGCAAATTACCAGGGCTGCTAATAGACCTTCCCTACTTATCCTCACCTCGGAAGGTGCTTCACTGTACTTTTCCATTAACTCCCCCCCTCTCCACCTTCTCCTTCCCCTCCCAGCCTCCCCTCTGCCCCCAAACCCAGCGTGTTCAACCCCACATGGTACCAATAACCACCACCCAAGCGTCCCCATCCAAGGGATTCGCTCCATCCAGATTTCCCTGGCACCTCAGCTCCCTTCCCTCAGTCCAGGCTCAGCCTGTCATGGTGGGAGAATGAGAGAATCCCATTTTTCATGCTCAGGAAAGATTTAAAGATGTGAAATCCAAAACTTTCCGGTCATATGGCTTTTTCTGTCTTCCCCCCTTTCTTGTCAAAAGAAGTCTTAACTTTTCCTTGATGCCCTAACCACAAGAAGAACTGAACCAAGAGCACGGAGCTTTGCCTGAAAACCAAACTACATTATGCACACACACAAAAACTCTGCCTGGAGCAGTTTATCAAGTGCCCCTTTGACCCAACGAGGCATTTGAACAGGCCCTGAGCTGGATGCTGCAAGCTGAGGTTGCACTGCTGGAGAGAAGAAAGAGCAGAATATTCCTGGTATTTTATTACCAGAGAAATGAATCAAATAAATTTTCAATTGATGAATTCCCCTGCAAAGTTTTGCAACACAGAAGCACAACACCACAGCACCGAGCAAAAGGGTGAAGCCAAACACCCACAAAAAACACACAACAAAGTGCTCTGCTTTTTACACCTTTTTTGTTTTCTTGCCTTTCACGGCCAAGCTGAAGACTTGGGGTGGTTGCTGGAGGGGTTTGAAGTGTTTATCTCTCTGCTGCCTCCTTGTTTGAAAAGCTGTGGAAATAGAAAAAGCTTCCCTTTGGCTCTCAGGCTGTCCAAAACCACCCCAGCCTGCAGCTGGAGGATGCCCTGGGAAGATCCCTCTGCTTCAGAGGGGCTTTGGGCAAGGAGAAGACCGGGACAGAGATTCCCTTCTCCACCTTTGTTATTTTTTTCCCCCCATGCCAGGGGGGTGCAGCTGCTCAGAGCACCCAGGGTGATGCACTGCTGGTGCTGCACAGCCCTGCCAAGGAGCACCGAGCTGGAATCAAACCTCTCAGGGCAGCAAAAGTGCCCGAAGATGTTCTCTAATCCTGAGCAGGCAGGCTGAAAGCTACTGGGAGCCTTTGAATAAAGCTGAGGGAAGAGAAAGCAGGGGAGATGGCAGAGAAAGAGAGGAGGAAGGACACCGGGGAGAGCCAGGAGCCTACAGGAAGCCAAACCCCCCGAGAGGGCTTTGGATTTCAGATTTAGGAAGAAGGAGCCTGAACCTCCCGTAGCTCTGGCGCTGGGGAAAGAAAATACTATTAAACAATACATAAGGAGAAGGAAGATAAACTGGATTTAAATAATAGCTTTTATTTCAAAGCTCTCCACAGAGCCTGGCTGAGATTGGGGAGGGTGGTATCTAATTACTGAAATTTCTACAGCTGGAATCTGATGATTGTAATCACCCAAAAAGAGCACTTAAAAATGATTTAGAAGGAGGGTGAAGGGAGCAAAAAAAAATGCACATTTGTTGTTGAGAGCTTTGGGACCAGCCTATTTACCTGTAAGAGCCCTTCCAACAAGACCTCAGAGTATTTCTGGATTGCCAAAACACCGATCCCTGTCACAGGGAACACACACAGGGCAAGACCAGGATGGAAAAGCTGCAAATCTCCAAGTGACATTTGGCCAAACCTCTGCCCTGCTCAGGTGAGACCCCACCTGCAGAGCTGCCTCCAGCTCCAGGGTCCCAGCACAGGGAGGACCCTGGAGAGAGTCCAGAAGAGGCACCAGGATGAGCAGAGGGATGGAGCAGCTCTGCTGGCAGAGACTGTTCACATGAAGAAGCTTTGGGGTGATCTCAGTATGGCCTTCCAGGACCTGCAGGAGCCACCAGGAAACACAGAGAGACCATTTCCAAGGGAGAGAGGGACAGGACAATGCTGTAAGGACCAAATCTCACAGAGCCCCTTCAGCTGGATGCACTTTCCCTGCCCTCCCACCCCTGCCAGCAGCAGGTGGGGTTGGTCTCTGACCTCTCCAAATCCTCAGATCTTCTCCCACCTCCCATCTCCAACCTGCCTCTCACACAGCAGCTGCTTTGCCAGGGACTTCCCAGGCTGGGGCTGCTTCTGGAAAACCCCTTCAAAAGACACAAAAAAAGAAGGGCAGAGTTGTTACAAGCAAAGGGGGAAGAAGGGAGGGCACACAGAAGGACACTCCACACCTGCCTTGCTCTGCCTGTCCTCCTTCCACACAGGAGGATCCTAAGGGAAACATCTCCCATACCTGCAGCAGGCAATGAACACCCTCTTGGGAATGGGGTGGGGGCAGGAAGGAGGTGACATGCCCTCAGAACACATTTTGGGGGGCACTGCACACCCCAAATCGAGTTTCTCTCTACCTCATCCTCAAGGTTCCTCACTCTCCCACCCAGGAGCGGAACAATCCCTCGGCTCCCAGAGCTGAGCCCCAACCACATTCCCCAACACCTTAACACAAATCCCCCCCAAAAGGAAAGGGAAAGGAAAGGGTTACACATAAAAGGGTGAAATGAAAGAAGGGGGGAAAACATCCCACGGCTGAGGAATGTCAAACTGTCACAACGGCATCAACCGTCTCCTCAGCGAGTCTGAGCCTCGGCGCGCGCGGAATCGCCGCGTCTGGGAGAAAAATCAGCTGTCACAGTAAATGCTTCCATCTCCAGAAAAAAACCTGCAAGAGCAGCTTGGCACAGAGGCACAGAATTGTTTTCTGCCGTTTCCAAAGCCAGGCACTCCAAAGAGATCAAAGGGCAAACCCTCCTTCCCGCTGGAGCATCCAGGGGGAATCTGCCTGCTCACAACCTCTCCAGCTCACACTCAACAAGCACTTTCCACCCCACAAATTCTTGTGGGGCACCTCTCCTGCACTGCCAGCCTCAGCACAGCTGCCTGTAGGAATCTGACCTGGCTCAAACCAGACCTAGGCTCCTGGCTTTGGTTCATTTGGCTCACCCCAAACCAGCAGCAGAACTCCCCGGGGCCTGAGTGCACAAGCTGCACAACAAGCCAAGCACAAGCTGCACAACAAGCAGGTGAACTTTTCCTCTCCTCCACCTCTTCCCTTAACAAGGGACACAAACATTCTCCTGCCCTGCTCCTTCTGGCTTCAGTACCCCAAACTCTCCCTCTACCATCCCACTCTCCAAAAGATTTCCTTACTCCACACTACAGAAGCATTTTGGGGTCTTCCCCCAACTTCCAGCCATTCCCACTGCTTTCTCCCACTTGAAAAACCACCCCAAAGCATCCCCCCTCTTTTTTAGCCCCCCACATTTACTCACCAACCTGCAAGCTCAGCTTCACCCTCTGGCTCAGCCCCTCCCAGCCTCCTTCTCTCCTGCAGCCCATCAGTTTCAATCACTTCCACCTGTAACTCACCTGACCCCCAATCAGATCCTTGTTCCCCACCTCGTTGTCCCAGGTGTCCCACTCACCACAAGGTCCCACACCTTCAATTTCCACCAATTCCCACCCCTCCAGCCAGCCCCAGCTCCCTTCCCACCCCCACACCCCCTTTGGTCCCAGGTGTGGCACATTTATCACCCCAAATCCACCCCGGGCAGCAGCGGCCTCCACCGAAGGCACAGCAGAGAGCACTAATCAGTTTTTCATAAGGAAACTGCAAACTGAGCCACGGGAAACTCAGCAGCCTGGATTTACACACGGGGGAATATCGGAATCGCTTTCATTTTGACTGAAAGAGTCATAACCTCGCATTTCACCGAGAGCTGAAACCAAACTAGAACCAGAGCACGTGTCAAAGCCATACGAAACTACAACTTCTGCATGGTTTTGATGCAAAATAATCTAAGCAGGCTGGCAGGCTACAAATTCTAACGATTCTGTGGACAAATCTGGGGCAAGTTTAGAATTTGTACCGTAGTGTGTTACTTGTCAGTTTCGGTTTCACTGTAAATATTTTTAAGCGGAGCACCAGTGGGCTCTGAGCACAGCTCTCAGTGCCAAAGCGAGAGGCAAACGAGCACGGCAGAGGCTGGAAACTGCTTTCACTGTGGAATATTTTAAGGTCATGTTGACTCTAGGTTCTGGCTGTCGGTGGTGTTGGCACCCAGGGATGGCATCTGTCCCTGCAGTCCTGCTGCTGCATAAGACAAAGAGTTCCTCTCTTGCACTGTGAGCTCACAACTTCAGGGGAAAGGATGAACAGCTCTGCTGAGAGGTACCAGCCTCACGGTGTGAGCAAAGTTCTCCTTCCAGCTCCACCAGCTTCCAGCATCACCAACCCCAGCCAGCCATCACCTGTCCACCAGGAAAGTGGGAGCGGGAAAGAAGAGAGCCATGGCATATGCAGAGCTGGAGAGGATCCACAACGATCATAAAATCATAGAATATTCTGAAGTGGGAGGGTCCTGCAAAGATCCGCTATTCCTGTACGGGACATCCCCAGGGATGTCACCACGTGCTTGGCAGCGGTGTCCAAGGGCTCCTCTGGCAGCCTTGGGAATGTGCTCATTCCCTGGGGAGCCTGCTCAGTGCCCCACCACCCTCGGGGGACGGGAAAACCTCTCCCTGCTCTCCCGCAGCCCTCCCTGGCTCAGCTCCAGCCGTTCCCCGGGCACCACTCGGGGACCCCCGCGGGGGGATCAGCGCCCGCCCGGCACTCACAGTACAGGAAGGCAATGGAGCGCAGCAGCACGATGCGGGTCAGCCAGAAGGTGCCCGGGGAGAGCGGCGGGGCCGCGGTAGCGAGCCCGGGCTCGGGGGATGCAGCGGGGGCCGCTCCGGGAGCTCCATCGGGGGCTCCGGCCCGGCCCGGGCGGCGCTGGCGCAGCCCCGCGCTGGGAGCCGCCATGTCGGGCACAGCGAGCATGTGCGGCCCGGCGGGGCGGGCCGTGAGGGGACACGGCGGGGACGGGAGAAAAAAAGGGGGAAAACGGGCAGAAATGGAGAAAACCGGGCAGAAACGGGAGAAATGCGCTGCAAAGCGGCGGCGCCGTGTCGGGCACGGCGAGCGTGTGCGGCCCGGCGGAGCGGGATGTGAGGGGACACGGCGGGGAGGGAGAGAAAACGGGGAGAAACGGGGCGAAACAAGCAGAAATGGGGTAAAACGGGCAGAAATCGGGCAAAGCGAGCAGAAATGGGGAGAAACTGGCAGAAATTGGGAGAAACTGATAGAAATTGGGCGAAACTGACAGAATGCTTTTCAAAGCGGGGCCGCCGTGTCGGGTATAGCGAGTGTGTGCGGCCCGGCGGGGCAGGACGTGAGGGGACACTGCGGGGACGGGGAGAAAACGGGGAGAAACGAGGCAAAACGGGCAGGAAAGAGGCAAAACGAGCAGAAATGGGGAGAAACTGGCAGAAATTGGGAGAAACTGATAGAAATTGGGCGAAACTGACAGAATGCTTTTCAAAGCGGGGCTGCCTGTCGGCCACAGCGAGTGTGTGCGGCCCGGCGGGGCAGGACGTGAGGGGACACTGCGGGGACGGGAAGAAAACGGGGAGAAACGAGGCGAAACGGGCAGAAAAGAGGCGAAACGAGCAGAAATGGGGAGAAACTGGGAGAAATTGGGAGAAACTGATAGAAATGGGGCGAAACTGACAGAATGCTTTTCAAAGCGGGGCCGCCGTGTCGGGTATAGCGAGTGTGTGCGGCCCGGCGGGGCGGGACGTGAGGGGACACTGCGGGGACGGGGAGAAAACGGGGAGAAACGAGGCAAAACGGGCAGAAAAGAGGCAAAACGAGCAGAAATGGGGAGAAACTGGGAGAAATTGGGAGAAACTGACAGAATGCTCTTCAAAGCGGGGCCGCCGTGTCGGGTATAGCGAGGGTGTGCGGCCCGGCGGGGCGGGACGTGAGGGGACACTGCGGGGACGGGAAGAAAACGGGGAGAAACGAGGCAAAACGGGCAGAAAAGAGGCAAAACGAGCAGAAATGGGGAGAAACTGGCAGAAACTGATAGAAATTGGGCGAAACTGACAGAATGCTCTTCAAAGCGGGGCTGCCGTGTCGGCCACAGCGAGCGTGTGCGGCCCGGCGGGGTGGGACGTGAGGGAACACGGCGGGGACGGGGAAAACGGGGAGAATTTTCTCCGAACCGGCGAGAAAATGCAAAATTTTATTTAAAAATAAAATAAAGTAAGCGGTCAGTGTGGTTGCGGAGGTGTGAGAGGGCTGGAGCGTCTCTGATGAGGCTGCGGGAGCTGGGGCCGGCTGGAGGAGGGAAGGTGAGAGTGGATCCGGATATTTCCGAGGGGTTTTAGGGGATGATGCCGGGCTCTGTTCGGTGGTGCTCAGTGACAGGATGAGGAGAGATTCCCTAACATAAATCAGAATCCAAATCGCAGAATATTCTGGTTTGGAAGGGACTGGCAAGGATGATCAAGTCCCTTCAGTGAATGGCTCACATTGAATCCACAGCCTTGGAGTTGTCAGCACCATGCTCGGACCGGCTGAGCTCAGGACAGATCAACACAACAAATTCCACCTAAATTTACAGAAAAACTGGTTTGCATGGAGGGGCAGGGCTGTGGAACAGGGAGAATGTGGATCTCCCTCTCTGGAGACATCCCAAACCCACCTGGACATGTTCCTGTGTCACCTGCTCCAGGTGACCCTGCCTGGACTCTGGAATTTAAGTTCATTTTAAGTTCAATTCTTCAGGTTTTCCTCATAGACTCACAGCATGGTTTGGGTTGGGAGGAATCTTAAAGCTCATCCAGTTCCAATTTTAGGCACCTTCCACTATCTCAGGGTGCTCCAAGGCCTGTCCAAGCTAGCCTTGGACACTTCCAGGGACCCAGGGGCAGCCACATCTTCTCTGGGAATTCCATCCCAGCCCCTTCTACCCTCACAGGGAAGGGTGTGAAATCCTTCCTAAAATCCCATCTAAAATCCCATCTAAATTCACTGCTTCTGATGCCGCCAGCCCTCACAGGGAAGAGTGTGAAATCCTTCCTAAAATCCCATCTAAAATCCCATCTAAATTCACTGCTTCTGATGCCGCCATGATTTTTACTTTAAATAATTTACAAACATCAAACATCTGGCTGTGTAGAGTTCATAAATAGCATTTTTGAGCGTAAACATACATTGAGTATCCCCTTAGTAAACACCTCGGTGCTGGTCACTGAGAAACGATCTGCTATCAGGTGTAACATTACTCAACACTTCCCAGCCTCTAAACCAGTCCCTTCTAAATGCCCCTTTTGTTTTTCCAGTTTCCCATCACTGCTGCTCGCATTGTTCTCCGTAGGAAAAAAAAAAAAAATAGAAAAAAAAATATGCCACATAATGGTGCATTGTATAGGGAAGGAAAAATCAGCTGTTTGTTAAAGGCCACTGGAATACTGCAGCTCTGGATCGGCCACCACGAGGTTTGGAGAGGAAAATTTAAATAGATGGGAGCTAATGGTTTCCTTTGTGGGGTCTTTTACAGCAAATTCCACATTAAACGGGGGTGTCTGTAAAACAAACTGGATAATTGAGGAAATTACTGCGGGAAAGTGGAGGGTTTAGGCTAAAGCTTAGCAAAAAGGGAGGAACAAGTGGGGCTGGGAGGGGAATGCTGAGCTGGGTCGGTTTTCATTGCCGAGGGTCACTCTGAGATGTGCCGCATCGTGGACCAGGAGCACCTTCCATCAGGACGAGCTGTAAATTTTAAGCCTGAACCAGCAGAAATGTGTGAAACCAAAAAGGACTCAATTCACATAACAGGCAGTGGAAGCCTTTCCTGGCTTTCCTGGAAGATGATTCAGGCTAGAAAGAAAAACATGTGATAAACCAGTTGATTAAGACACCAAATGACGTCTTTTCTGTCCCAAATGTGACTCGAGGATCTTTGTGTGTCCCTCCCAGCTCAGATATTCCGTGATTCCACGAATCCCTTTGTGGGGACCATCACCTGTGCTGCCTTTTCCGCTCACTTCTCGGTTTCTTCTTTTATTTTCACCCGGCAACTTGAGCAAAGAAAACAGCGCAAAAACCCCGAGCAGAAATAACTCAGACAAGGTACTTGAGAGCGAGCTTTGGAGCCTTTCAAGCCTCCAGGGGAAGGCGATTCATGAATGCCAGGCGGGCAGGGCCATCATTGATGCTCATCTTCATTCACCAAGCCGCCCCCAACGCCACGTCCCCTATTTTGCTGTGTTCCAAACCAGCTGCAGGAGTGCCAGGGGAACAAGCCTTTACTGTCACAGCAGCCAGCAGCTGTCCCCAGCGGCACCCCAACCCCGCTGGCTGGCCCTGGCACCCGAAATCGCTCTGTGTTCATTCAGCTCTGGCCTTTCTCCCCTCTGGCTGCCAGGATTTGGGTTGAAAGGGAGCAGAGAAAGCTGAAATCAGGAGCTTGGGAGGCAGCATGAGCACGGGGGGCTCCTCTGAAGAGAGCAGACATGCAGCTGTGGATAATGCAGGCACACACCGGGCACTCAGCTGCGCCTGCTGAAGGGGACGTGGACACCTCACAGAGAATTTGGGAGCTTCTTTCTGCTAAGCCATTTTTTTCCCAGCAGTAATAATTCTACCCTTTAAAATCCCCAATTTTCCCTGTGGAAATCTGATCTTTAACTCCAGGATTAAAGCTGGAAAGGATTTTTGGAGGAAGAATCACCTTTTTTTGTTGTGTATTTCTGCAGGTTAATGAGTAAGGGCTGGTTCAGAAGAGGGATCCTTAAGTGGTACCATAGGACAAGCAATTAATAATCACAATAATCATAATTAATCACAGTAGTACCCCTTATTTTGAAAAGATGCCATCCAGGCTGTGCTGTGCAGGAGGAATGAAGAGATCCAACACCTCACCTGACATTTAATGTGTAATTCATACACGGGTGGGTTTTGATCCTGCATCCCAGAGCACATCCAGAGAGATTCCGTGTGCTCTCATCCTCTAAAAATGCCTTCCCTGGCTGCCACTGGAAAGGAAATTTTTCCTTCCTGGCACAAGCAGGGCTCTGCCTGCTCTGGAGCCAATGCACACATACTCTTATTCCTGCAGGAGGAAGGAGTACAGAACAGAGGAACTGGGGTGGGAGGTGGAGCAGCCTCCATCCCACAGGGGTGCTGAGAATTCCCAGGTGGGAATGTGATGGAGCCAGGCACACAGACCTTGGATTTACTGCCTGATTCCCAGAAACACTGGCTGAGCTGGCCAGGAACTTTCTCGGAGGCCACGTCAGAAAATGAAGCAATATTCCAAATATCAACCTCTGCCGTGCCCACTCTGTCAGGAAGAGCTGGATCTGTTCTCCCAAATCCTCTCTGAACTGGGTGCACTCCTAAAGGCTCCACTGGGCCACAGGAACCTGGGTTGTTCCCTCCCAAATCTGCACCTTTTTCCTGGGAATGCTGATGTCAGGGCCTGCTGTGTCAGGCCAGGATGACACACCCTGTGGGATCCTGCCCTGCAGCTCCAGCCTGTGCCCATCACTGGGCAAACATCCCCATCCTTTGTCATACGAAAATCCGGCCACGAGACCCCCCCGCAGGACAAACAGCCCCACTTGAACCCACTTGTTCCCTGAGCATTATCTCATTCCATTTCATGGCTGAGTGAGCTTCTCAGGAAACCAGAGCTCCTGAGCACCTCCAGGTGCTCCAGCTCCCTCCTTTCCCTGTGTTCTGGCTGTGTGAGGCCAGGGAATTGTGCTCCATCTCCCGAGGAGCGAGTCGGGAACAGGGAATGGTTCGTGCGGGATCTGGGACGTGCAGCAGGACACGTTCCCTGCCCCGCTGCCAGGCACGGCCTCATCCCCGAGCCCATCTCTGGAACAAGAGGAAACAGCCACCCAAAGTCACCTTCCTCCTTCTACCTGTGCTGCACAAAGAGGAATTCAAACCTGTGGGCTGGGAAATGCAATTCCCTGCCTCAGGCAGGGCTGGGGAGCCCTGGAAGGCAGCAGCGAGCAGGGAAGAAAACCAAAGTCTGTAATTCCTCCTGTCCTTGGGGGCTTCTTTTGCAGGAATCTTTGGAGCTGAACACAAGGAGCAGAAAAAAGGGGTTCTTGTTCCCATTCCTACCTCCAAAACTCCGAGCATCCCACAAATCCCTTCCCAGCCTCAGTCACGCACTGAGGTTGGGATCTTCCGAGGAAGGTGCTCCGCAGGAGGGGCTGGATTAGGAAAAAATGGACTAAAAATAGTGATTATTGCTTGGACTCACCCCTGGCTAAAACAGATGAAACACTGGAATTCTGTGAGTCAAGGTAAATTGCCCAATGAGACAGGATTTATAGGAATATGCATTAATTATAGGTCACAGGAGAGGGGAAAAGATTTTCCCAAGTGTCCAACAGCATTGCAAAGTCACCAATCCACAGCCCAGGGAAACATAAACTCATCCCCAATCTCATTAAATTTTAGAAGAAAATTTCAATTATTCAATTAGCAAGTCCAACATATTTAGTTTGCCTTGAGCCTTAAAATTTTTTTTTTTTTTTAAAGACGCTTTGAAAATTGTATTTCAAATACGTCAGGCAGTAACTCTGCAAACGGAAAGCTGAAAACTGGAAAAATTACAGTTTGGGGTTTTGTGGAAAAAAAAAATAAAATTAAATCCTGCTTTGCCATTTGAGAGACCAAATTAATTTTCACATTGAAGGCAGACGGATGTTCGGGCACATTTCAAAGCATACGGTTTATTTATTACACATCACAGTAATTAAACAAAAACCACCATATTCCTGGTACTTTTTAAACGCTGGAATGCTTGAAGCCCAGTTTCTTATTTTTCCTCCGTCAATCTTATCCGTGACCCTCTATTTTTCCAGGGGGAAGCAGCAGATAAAACTTGAATTTGGGAAGCCCCCCTCAATCGCAATTAGAATGCTGAATTCCGCGGATAATTAGAATCAAATGCTCCAAAGAAATGCTGGAATAGCAGGGCTGGCTCGGAAAGGAACAACTTAAACTGACGGGGCAGATTTTGGGGGTCTCCCTCCCTTTTTTCCCCATCCAAAGGCTCACCCCGACGTGCCGCATCCTCCTCCGGCCGGGACCTCCCGGGCGCTTCCCGGTGCTCGGGATGGAGCCGGCTGCGGGAAGGCTGCGGGAAAAGAGGAGGGAGAGAGTCGGGGAGGGGACTCGTGTCGCTTTTTTCCAGCGATTCCCCGATTTCGCCCGTTGGAGAGAGCGGGGCCGGAGCGACGCGCTCGGGGCTGCGGGAGCGCACGGCCCGGGGGCACCGGGGATCGGCTGCGGGGGACACACAGGGAGCTCTGCCCTCCCGGCCACGCACCGACCGCCCCAAAAACCCCTGGAAAAGGGGATTTGAAATAACCGGCGGTCCCGCGGCACCGCTCCGCCACCCCCGTTCCGCGGCGCTGGGAAAAGCACGCGGCCGCTCCATCCCGCACCCGCTGCCCGGTACCCGGCTAGAACAGCGGGAGCCCGGCTGCACGCCGGAGCGCGAAACACATCCCCACTGTCGGGGGGTCCCCGCCAGTACCGCGCGGCGGTGAAGCGCCCGGACGATTTGCAGCGGAAAAAAGCACAGAGGAGCCCAAAGAGGCAGCCGGAGCAGGGAGCCGGAGCAGCGGCGGGCGGCATCCACCGGGCCGGGGCGGCAGCGGGACCCCGCGCTGGCGGCGGCTCCACCGGCGGAGCGGGAGCTCTGAGGCGGCGAGCGCGCGGCACGGGCCCGCCGTGCGAAGCCACGCCCCTTATGCAAATCACCTCCCCCTCTCCACCAATGGCGAGCGGCGGCGGAGGCGGGGCCGCTCGCCCTGCCCTTAAAGTAACTTGTTGCCAGGGGCCCCGTTTCGCACTGGACGTGGAGCGCGGCGCGGGCAGCGCGGGGCCCCGGCGGCGGCGGCAGGACCGGCTGCGGAGCGGGGGGGCTAGCGCGGATTTTGAGCTGAGTTTCGAGCGTTTCGTGTCTTTTTTTTTTTTTCCTTCTAGAATTTCTTGTTTTTACTCGTTTTCCCGCGGCGCCCCGCGGAGGGTGCGCGGGCCTCCCCCCCACACCCCCGGGCGGGCACAGCGCACGGCCGGCCCGGCTCTGCCGCCCGCCGATGCTCAACATGACCGAGGAGCACGACAAAGCGCTGGAGGCTCCGTGCAGCCCCGCGGGCACCACCAGCTCCATGTCCCACGTGGACTCGGACTCGGACTCGCCGCTCTCCCCCGCCGGCTCCGAGGGGCTGGGCTGCGCCCCCGCGCCCGCCCCGCGCCCGCCGGGCGCCGCCGCGCTGGGCGCCAAGGTGGACGCGGCCGAGGTGGACGAGCGCTTCCCCGCCTGCATCCGCGACGCCGTCTCGCAGGTGCTCAAGGGCTACGACTGGAGCCTGGTGCCCATGCCCGTCCGCGGCAACGGATCGCTCAAAGCCAAGCCGCACGTCAAGCGGCCCATGAACGCCTTCATGGTGTGGGCGCAGGCGGCCCGCAGGAAGCTGGCGGATCAATACCCGCATCTGCACAACGCCGAGCTCAGCAAGACCCTGGGCAAGCTCTGGCGGTGAGTGCCGAGCCGAGCCGCGTCCTGCGCGGGGCTGCGCGGCCGGACCCCCCCGTCCCAGCGCTTCTAAAGCTTCTGCCCGCTTTGCTTTTGTTAATCCGGGCTTCTCGGTGCGGTTCCGAGGGAGGTGCCGTCCCTTCCCCGAGCATCCCGCCGCACCGCGAAGGACGCACCGGTCCCTGCTCCGAAAAATCCCCCGAGCAGGGGCTTGGGCACCCCCGCTCCTGCCACGGGTGGATTTTCCTTGCTCCATCACGGGGATGCACAAGTCCTTCCCTTGCCTGCGGCTTCTCCATCCCCAGGCGATGAGACTTCTTTAATGACTTGTTTTATGGCTTTTCCTATTTTTTTTTTTTGCCTTTTTGGCTCGCTTGATGCTTTACAAGCTATAAACGCAGCTAAACTCATTTTTTAGCAGTTATTTTAACGAGCTTCCTAATTTCCCCGCTTATCTGCTCAGCGCTGCCGGGGGATGCAAACTTTTATTTGCTGAGCAGCATCCGAGCCCGCTTTGCTTTCCAAGGCTCTTCCCCGAGCCACGTTTCTCCGTGTGGTTTATCCCGTGCTGTCTGCCCGTACCCAATTCCCATCTTTTCCTGCCTACTCGGGCCAGCGATGCTCCGGCTGCGGTCTGAGTCTCTCCAAGAGTTTGCAAAGAGAGGTGTGGGCAGAGGGCAGAGAGTTTGGAAAGCAGTAATCCCATCCCTGGTGCCTTGGTGGTTTCTTTGTAAGCACCAAACAAAGCTGGAAATGTTTGTGGTGGTGAGGGGGTGGCATTTGCAGGGCAAACATGGGAATTATATTTTGTAATTGTGTTAGAAATGTGGAAGGGGGATTCTGTTTTGCCCAGTTACCCCTGTCTATAGTGGTCGGGTTTTTCGTGCTGCTGTAGTTGGTGTTTTAATCCATTTTTTTGCCGTGGATTTTAATTCCTTTTTACCACAGCAAATTAATTTTGTAGTTAACTTGCCAAGTGCTCAGATCCATGCATGGGAAGTGGGGATGTGCGAGTCTAAAAACAAGAAGAAAACTTGTAAGGAAAAGATCCTAATTTTGACTTTTTTTTTTTTTTTTTTTCCCCTCTCTTCCTTACTAAAACAACCAACCCCCCCCAAAAACCAGTTTATTGAGCGAGAACGAGAAACGTCCCTTTGTGGAGGAAGCCGAGCGGCTCAGGGTGCAGCACAAAAAGGATCACCCGGATTACAAATACCAGCCCCCTTACTAAAACAACCAACCCCCCCAAAAACCAGTTTATTGAGCGAGAACGAGAAACGTCCCTTTGTGGAGGAAGCCGAGCGGCTCAGGGTGCAGCACAAAAAGGATCACCCGGATTACAAATACCAGCCCCGGAGGAGGAAAAGCGTCAAAGCCGGGCAGAGCGACTCGGACTCGGGGGCTGAGCTCAGCCACCACGCCGGCACTCAGCTCTACAAGGCCGACACGGGGCTGGGGGGCATGGCCGACTCCCACCACCACGGCGACCACACAGGTAAAAGGTGGCATTCCCGCTGATCCCTGTGCCTTGGGGAGGGATGGGATCCCGCTGCTTCCCGCCCTGCAGAGCCCGAGGCAGGAGTTGTTGTCCCAAGAGCTGTGCTTGGGAGCGTGACCGTGATTGTCCTTAGTGAGTGCTCTCAGAGCTGCCTGTGCCATAGGGAATGCCAAAGCGCTGGGATCCCGGGCTCCCTGGATGGGGAGAATGAATTATTCTGGGCTAATTATTTGTATGATGGGCTAATAAGAGTGCCTGGGGAGCCAGGTCCCGGGGCAGAGCTTCCCAGCACTGGGAATTGGTGTGCTGACAGATTCTGGGAGCACTGGACCATCCTGCAGCCTCAGACCGTGCTGGGATCATGGCCCTGGGTTCCTCTGCCTTGGGAGAGCCGGGCTGGGCTCGGCAGCCCACAGGGGGAGGATGAGCTCCATCATGGGCTTCACTCTGTGAATGCACCCCCTGGGGGGGTTTGGTGCTGCCAGGCTGTCCTGCCGTGTCCCAGAGTGATCCTGATGGGCTCAGCCTGCTCCCATGTCCCATGTGGGGGGCTCATCCCAGGGGGACACGGTCACAGGGCTGGACATCGCCCGTGTCCGACACGGTGCCGCAGATTTAAATCCCCAAAGAAAGCAACAACAGACAGGTGAAACACATTTGTTGAAGGAGCTGGGCGTTCTGTGGTCACTGCTGAAACCTCGCTGTCCCTTCGTCCCCAGGCCAGCCCCACGGACCCCCCACGCCGCCCACCACCCCCAAAACCGACCTGCACCACGGCGGCAAGCAGGAGCTGAAACACGAGGGCCGGCGCCTGGTGGAGAGCGGCCGCCAGAACATCGACTTCAGCAACGTGGACATCTCGGAGCTGAGCAGCGAGGTCATCAACAACATGGAGACCTTCGACGTGCACGAGTTCGACCAGTACCTGCCCCTGAACGGCCACGCGGCGCTGCCGGCCGAGCACGGCGCCAACGCCGCCTCCTTCGGCGCCTCCTTCGCGCACTCGGGCGCGGCCGCGCAGGTGTGGACTCACAAGAGCCCGGCCGCGGCCTCGCCGGCGGCGGCCGAGCCGGGCCAGCAGCGGCCTCACATCAAGACGGAGCAGCTGAGCCCCAGCCACTACAGCGAGCAGCCCCACGGCTCCCCGGCGCACTCCGACTCCTACGGCTCCTACGGCGGCCAGGCCTGCGCCACCTCGGCCGCCCCGGCCGCCGCCGCCGCCGCCTCCTTCTCCAGCTCCCAGTGCGACTACACGGACCTGCAGAGCTCCAACTACTACAACCCCTACCCCGGCTACGCCTCCAGCCTCTACCAGTATCCCTATTTCCACTCGTCGCGCCGTCCCTACGCCACCCCCATCCTCAACGGGCTGTCCATCCCGCCGGCGCACAGCCCCACCGCCAACTGGGAGCAGCCCGTCTACACCACGCTGACCAGGCCTTAAAGGATTCCCGGAGCCTCCCGAGGCTTCCCTGGAATTATGCACTAATGAAGGAATGAGGAGGAAGAGCGTGGAGTGTTCCAAAGTGCCTCCTGAGCCGCTGGGAACTTTCTGCTGGTCGCCACCTTGCTTTGAAACTCCCCCGAAAGGACAGAGCTCTATTTTTTTTTGTTTTGTTTGTTTTTTTTTTTTTTCTTTGATTCGTAGGATTTAAGAAATTAAAAAAAAAAAAAACTAAAAAAACCAACCAAACAAAGGACAGAACATTTAAAAAAAAAAAGCAAGAGGTTAAAAAAAAAAACAAAAGGAAAAGGACCGGCGATGCCTTTTGAGTAAATGAAGGACAAAACGTTGGACTGAGCCGAACTCGCTCGGCCTGGAAGTTTGGCCAAGTGCAAAACGTGGAGAGAGAGAGGGGGAGACAAAACAACAACAAAAAAAGCTGTTTGAGACTTTCAGGGTCTATTGCAATGTGAGGAACGGACCAACCTTGAGGGCAGGAACTCACTGGGACCAACAGGGATGAGCCCCGAAATCCCAAAAAAATCCCGTGGGAAGAGTCTGATGGGACCAACCAATTCAGTGTCTGAAGTGTTTGTTGATTTTATTTTTATTTTAATTTTTTTTGTCAGGAGTTCTTCTAAGCAAGGTTTGGCTGTAATTAACATTTTATTTTGGGTTTGTTTTTTTGTTTGTTTTTGGAAGCTTCAAATGTTTTTGGTTGTTTTGGTTTCGTTTTTTTTTTTTTTTTAATCTGTTAAATATGTATTTATGTTGTGTATTATTTTGTCTTTTAATTAATGAAGTCATTTTGTGCAAAACGAAAAAAAAGTAGAATTTTTAAGAGATTTTAAAGACGGGGGAGGGAACCTAAAAAAATAATGGAGATGATACAATAAACTGGTGTTATGAGTCTATAGATTTTCCTTGGTTTTTGGGTTTTTTTCATTTTGGAACCGCTGCAGGAGCCGTGCTGGAGAGAGGGACTGAAGGAATCCGCCTGGAAACTCCGATGGGAATGTCAAATAACGAGGGGGGGAATTACTGATTCAATTGGGAGGCTCAAATGCTGCCTGAAAAGGGCAGGTGATTTTCTGGCCACCTGTTTTGGGCTGTTAAAATCGGATTTCAGGAGTCTTCGGAGGCTTTCAGAACCAGGACTGCTTTAAAGGAGCTGTAATTCCATGAGAAACCATCGACTTCTGCTTTAATTTTGGCTTCTAGGGACCAGATATCATCCATCAAGCTGTGAAACTAAAATCTCCTCCACTAAAAAAATGGGTTTAGGGTACTTAGTTTTTAGACTAATATTTCATTGATATATTTCTACTTCTTCCATTGTATGCTGAGCATATAAATAACCATCTATTTTATGGGAACTCGTGCCTTTAAAAGCCTTTGTAAATCTAAACCCACCTTTCAGAGGTTATTCATCTTTTTACCTTTTCTACGTTTCCTACTCTTTTTTCTAAAAGATATTTTTTTGCATATTTCCTTTCGTGGCGGGAGAGGGAGGGACACGCTGGGCTGGGGGAAAAGACAAAAAAAGCTCATTTTTATGCAATCTATTTTTCTGTATAAAGTTTGAAAGACTTTTGGTTGTTACTGATCTGTTCTCTTCACTCGCTTCTGACTAAGCAATGCTAACTTTTGTACAGATCCATTTGATAAAATTAAAAAGTGCTTTTTATCAAGGATGTGTTCTGTTTTCTTTCTTCTTAAGCCTATTTTCTGTGCTGGGGGAAAAAAAAAACCTGGGAAAACAGCTTGCAAGGCGATGAAATCTTCAGAATAAAATATTTTCATCAAGGATTTATTTCCCTTTTAGTCTGGATTCTTTTTTTTTCCCTTGCTCCTTTTCCCTGCGCTTTGTGTCTTACTCTTGAGGTTTTTTTGAAATACAGATAAATTAATTTGATTTTTCCTTTAAGAAGGGCATTTCCATGCCCACAATCCTAAGGATTTCAGAGGATTTCAGGCTGCTCACACGAGGCCAGGTTTGCAGGGTTTTAGCCCCAGCTGATTTTCCTCCTGTAGGGAATTTACAGGAAGAAATTCCCTTTTCTGCTTGGTGAGCCCTGGTAAATAAATCCCTCTGAATTACAAGAGCAACCAAATTATACGTTGCACGTCGGCCTTGCTGTATTTCTTTTTTTCAACACGGTCATTAACATCGTTACATTTGTAACTTTTATTTTGCTTTCTTGCAGCAAACATCCCCTCCCTGTTCGGCTTTTGTCTGCTCGGGGAGCAAAGGGATCCCAACCTGGGAGGAAAAAAAAAGTTGGGATTGGGGCGTTCCAGCCTTCCCTGCTTGAGAGAAAAAGCTGGAACACGAAGGGGAATGGATGTGATGACAATTAATGAATCTGCAGCCCATTAAGGAGGGCTGGGGAGCAGAATCCCGGGCGGAATTCGGTGTTTGCAGCCTCTGCCAAGAGGGGCTGGAAGGCGACACCATTTTCTCCGTGCTCCTTTCCAGCTCTCCTGGCAGAGGGATTTCATTCCAGCCGGAGCCAAAGTGCAGCGTAATTCCCTTCCCTCCCCTCTCCTCCTCCCATGACTCTGCAGATTTCCCCTTCATCCTGATTTATGCCTGGAAAATGGATGTGTTTTGGCTCTGCCCTCGAGCTTGGGGTTTGCCTCACACTGTGAGGGGCAAAAGGAAACGAAAGGTGAGGTGGGAATGTTTTTGGGGATGATCCTTGCTTTCTGCTGGCTGTTTGATGGTACAGCTTGGAGTGGCTTCGCTGGTGGCTGATGACCAAAATTAAAACATCCGTGTGGGATAAAATGGTGAAGCACCCAAAATAACGACATTAGAAATTGAAAATCACCACAAAATGTTAAAGATTGCGCTGAAGCATCCCTGGTTCCTGGGAGAGCACGGGGAGGGGGCTCCGTGCATCCAGCAGGATGGATCCCTGTCTCCTTTCCCTTCTCCCAGTGACAGGGGTGACAGCCAGTGCCACGTCCTTGTCCCAGCCAGGAGCTGCAGGATGAGCGTGGAGCTGTGCTCTCATCCCAAGGATGCACATCCCCACCAGGCAGGTTTGAAATCCCCCTGCTGTGGCCACGGTTGGTTTTACTTCCCATGAGTTTTGCAAAAATAAATTGAATTATTACTGGTATTTACAGGAATAAGGTAATTAAATGGTATATTATAATATAGATTTGTATTGTATTTTGCCATGGAATTGGGGTTGGGAGGGATCCACAAGGATCATGTAAACCCAATCCTGATTTTAGATATCATATTTCTATATTTTACATCCATTCCATAGGTTCAAGGGGTGATGGCAGCTTTGGAATCATCAAATCCTGGAATGGTTTGGGTTGGAAAGGACCGAAAAGCTCATCCTGGTCCCATCCTGGGCAGGGACAACTTCCACCCTCCCAGACTGCTCCTTCCAACCTGGCCCTGGACACTTCCAGGACTGAGGTGCTGGAGAGCTCCTGGAAGCAATTCCAGGGAACAGCTCCTGGGGTTCTGTGGGGCTGGGGGTAAAACCCAGAGATGTTACAGAATGGATGTTCAGGAGGGTGCCAGGCAGGTAAAATGCAGCACCCTGGATAATCCAGGGCTAAAACTCAGGGTTTAGAGGGAGCTGGACATTCCCAAGATCGCCCAAATTTCATTCCCTACTCCTCAATTTACACTTCCTCTCAATTTCCCATTTGAGAGGAAAACACAGATCTGTTTTTACCCAAAGAAAGATATAATTCTGATCAGAAATTACTGCTGCATTTCCACATTTTGTCCTCTTCTTCCCTTTTCTGCTCCAGGCTGAGGCAGGAGAAGGATTTTCCAGGAGTTTTCCAGGCTGAATGGCAGCATTGTGTGTCCCGTGCTCGGGGCTGGTGGCTCTGTGCTGGAATGTCTCTGCAGAGTCAATGAGATCAGGTGAAACCAGGGCTGCCTTTTGACCCCTGGCTGCCAACAAAAAAGGCTTCTCAAGATAATTGCAGGAACCCACGGGTGAGAAAAGTCCCTCCATTTTATTTTTGGAGCAGGGAATAAAGAGTGTTGCTGTTTAGCTCAGACAGTGCTAGTTAGCAAGAAAGAGGAAATTAATTTTATAGACCATATCCACATTCTTTCTGCAGGCTGGAAAAAAAAAGTCCCTTCCCATCCTCCTTGTTTTAATTCTTTCTGGAGTGACATCAACTAGGTTTGCAAAGAAATGATTAAAAGGCATTTTTATGACAGCCTTGAGCTTTCATAAACTTCCACACAGGGACGTCCCTGCCTGTGCATCGACCTCTTCCCTCTGCCACCTTCATATTCCAGGGCTGGATCTTCTCTGTGGCCTGGCACTTGGGGGGGAAAAAAAAAAATAAAATAAAAAAGCCTGGACATGTGATGTCATTTGGGATAGAGGGTGGACTCCAGGAGGGCAGGAAAACCTTTTCCAGCTGATCCTGGAAAGGCAGAGCTTCAGTGCCACAGGGATTTGGGAGCAGGAGAGGCATGTCCGAGTCCATGGGAAGGTTTTGGTGGCCATGGGAAGATTGTGGTGGCCATGGGAAGATTTTGGTGGCCACGAGAGGGTTTTTGTGGCCACGAGAGGGTTTTTGTGGCCACGGGAAGGTTCGTCCGAGTCCATGGGAGGCTTGGTGGCCATGGGAAGATTTCGGTGGCCACAGGAAGGTTTCTGTGGCCATGGGAAGGTTTTGGTGGCCACGGGAAAGTTTTGGTGGCCATGGGAAGGTTTTGGTGGCCATGGGAAGGTTTTGGTGGCCATGGGAAAATTTTGGTGGCCATGGGAAAGTTTTGGTGGCCATGGGAGGCTTGGTGGCCACAGGAGGGTTTTGGTGGCCACCTGAGGAGGTGGCACTGCAGTGACCCCAGCGTGGCACAGCCCTGTCCCCATGGACAGGATGAGTTTCCCTTAGGGACCCTTTAAGGAAACTCCAACACTGCTGGAAAAGCAGGGCCCTGAGTTTGGATTGAGGGCTCTGAGGGCAAATTCCTACACATGAATTGACCAAGGGCTCCAAAGTCCCTTTTTGGGGGTGGGAGGAGGGAATTTCACATCAATTCCTGACTGTCCATGAGGGATTCATGGAAAAACCCCAGGAGACAACAATGCCACGGCCTCACCACTGCCCTGCTCTCCTCAGAGACCCTGCAGAGGCTCCACCAGGTTTTTTGGGAGTTCTCCACATG